TCAAATTATCATGATGCCAACCGTTTTTGGGATACTCTTCGTATTTCTTTAAATAACGCTTTTGACCTTACTAGTAACGTTATTTTGTTAGGAGATTTGAATGTGGATTTATTAACAATGTCCCATAATCATGTTTTTGCTGATATTATTGATACTTTTAACTTGAACAATGTCATAAATGAACCTACAAGGATAAGTCCTACTAGATCTAGTTTACTAGATCCAATCTTATTATCAGATTCTCTAACTTGTATAGATTCTTCAGTTATAGAAACTGACAGATTATATACTGACCATGAAGGGTGTGTTGCAGATGTTCTTGTTCCTTTTAATTTTAAACCTGTATATAAGAGGAAAGTATGGTTATATAAAAGAGCAAATTTTGAATTATTCAATAACCTTATTAGGGATTATGATTGGAATACGTTCTTCGCCAATTATAATTCAGTCCATTTAGCCAGTGAGGATTTTACCAATATTTTTCTTGATTTTGCTAATAGATGTATTCCAAATAAAAATGTTACTATTAGGCCTGGAGACAAGCCATGGATGAATTCTGATTTGAGGACAAATATGAAATTACGTGATCGGTTAAGAAGGAAAGCCATAAATTCAAAAGATCCTAGGGACATCACTAACTTTAAAAACCAGAGAAATAGAGTAAATAATATGAAAAAGCATGCGAGGGCTTCATTCTATGATAACGCTACTGACCTTATTGATCATTGTACGGGAGACCCCAAGAAATATTGGAAACTCATTAAAAAATTAATAGGTAAGACTGGGTCCACCGATTCTATTCCTTCTTTAATAGATCCAAACTCTGGTCTTCTATTTGTAGATGACAAAAGGAAAGCTGATATATTAAATGAATATTTTTGTAGTATTACTAATATTGATGATAGAAATATTGAAGTGCCTTTATTACATTCCAAAACAAATAGTTCTTTTAACTCTATAGTTATTGACCATGTTGAAATTTGTGACAATTTGAAAAACTTAAAGCTTGGGAAAGCATCAGGCGAAGATGGAATTAGTCATCATATGCTTAAGTACACAGCTGATACAGTCTGTAAACCACTCGAACTTCTTTTCAATCTCTCCCTATCTACTTGTACATTTCCTAATATGTGGAAATCAGCTAAGGTCATGCCCCTTTTTAAAAAAGGTGATAGACATTCAGTATCTAATTATCGACCTATTTCTCTTCTGTCTACGATCGGTAAAGTATTTGAAAGGGTTATCTTTAAGCATTTGTATAATTATTTCTTTGAACATGATTTTTTTTATCAGTACCAAGCCGGTTTCATGCCTGGTCATTCAACAGTTTATCAGCTACTAGAAATCTATCATAATATTTGTTTAGACCTTGAAAGGGAACAACATACCTGTATGATATTTTGTGATATTTCCAAAGCCTTTGACCGAGTCTGGCACAAAGGCCTAATAGTTAAATTAAAATCTTATGGTATCTCTGGTGATTTTTTGGTTTGGATAGAAAATTATTTATGTAATAGACAGCAGAAAGTATATATAAACAACTCTTCTTCCGATATTGGTATGATAGGTGCTGGAGTTCCCCAAGGCTCAATTCTAGGGCCTCTCCTCTTTCTCATTTATATAAATGATATAGCTGAAGAATTAGAATCAACAGCACGTCTATTTGCTGACGATACCTCCCTTAAAAAATCTTCTTCTTCGTGTCAAGAAATTGAACTAGTTTTGAACAGGGATTTAGAAAAATTAAATAATTGGGCAAAAACATGGCTCGTCTCTTTTAATCCAAACAAAACCCAGGTTGTTTTTATATCTAATTCAGATAATATTGATGAAGATCTTGATTTAATATTTGATGGTACTTTTCTAAATTTCAGTAGAGTGCATAGACATCTTGGAGTTATTTTTAGTTCAAATGCAAAGTGGTCTGACCACATCGATGATATTTATAAGTCAGCAATGAAAAAAATTAACGTTTTAAGAAAAGTTAAGTATATTTTAAAACGAGACGCACTATTAAGAATATACAAATGTTTTATTTTACCTGTTTTAGAATATGCTTGCGAGGTTTGGGATGGGTGTTCGCAATTAGATTCAGAAAAGTTGGAGCGAGCTCAGCGCGAAGCAGCAAGAATAATAACCGGATTACCGTCTTATGTGAAAAATGAATCTCTATATGTAGAATTTGAACTAGAATTACTTTCCGAAAGAAGATCTAAAAGAAAATTACAACTTATATATAAAATGCACAACAATATGACTCCAAACTATCTTTCTAATCTATTACCCCCCAGAGTAGGTGACATCAATCGATATGTTTTACGAAACAATGACAGATACAGGGTTCCGAATTATCGGCTTTCTACTACTAACAAATCTTTCCTACCCTCCGCTTTAACAAACTGGAACTCTTTAGACGAAAGCATAAAGTCTCTACTTCTTCCCTCCTTTAAATTCGCTCTATCCCAAAATATTCCTACTAGTCAACCTTGCTATTATAAGTATGGCGAAAGAAAACTAAATATTATACATACCAGGTTAAGACATAAATGCAGTTCTCTTAAAGATGACCTATTCCTTGCAAACTTAGTTACTGACTCACACTGTCCAAATTGTTTACATCATTGTGAAAACGCATATCACTTCTTTTTTGAGTGCCAACGTTATGCAACTGTTCGTACTGACATGTTTCAAGTTTTAAGTAATTTAAATACACAAATAAGTTTAAAACTACTATTATTTGGAAATGAGTTGTTGGCTTTGGAGGAAAATTATTACTTATTTGATCATGTGCAAAAATTCATTAAATCCAGCGGAAGATTTTGAACTTTATGCTTATATATGTTTATTCCCGTGAAAAATTGACTTGTTTTAAAAATTGAATTTATAATTATTTGTGCCATCATTTGTCTGTAAATTTGTTATGTTAATAGGAGACGGCTTCATAAGTTGAAATAACTTGTGTCTGATCCTTTTGTGCCAATATTTGGACAATAAAATATGTTTAAAGTCACTGCAATCCGTTCTTGATGACTCCGATTTCTCCAATGTTTTTGAAAACAAGCTTTGTATGAATAATATGTTTTTAAAAATCACCTTAAACAGAAGCTCCGAGAAAACTTCTCAAAACATTTTGGTGACGTTAGGCTGTTCAAGGAATCGTGTTTCCGCTGACGACACAGACACTTTAATATAGTAAAATAAGGTAATTTCTATATTTAGGTCAATAATAACTAAATATTTAGAATGTAAATATAAGAATTGAACAACATTTTTTCAATGTTCATGCCGGTATGAAATTGAAAATAATGTCATTCAATCCTTATGTAGGTATTAACTGATTTCCTGATTGTCAATCTTGTCATGCAGATGACATGTGCTGTACTCACCTCCAGTAGCACATCTTAGTGAATAAATAAAATATTAAAATCTGAAATCTGAAATCAATGTTGCGAACTGCATTAGGTGTCCAGCGGACATTATGCGCCATACCTCATTTTTACGTACACACTGAATGGCAAAACTTTGGCTTTGTTTGGTCGCCAAAATGGTGTGCACATTTATGGCAGATAAATAATGCCACTTCATAATTCCGGTTATATAATTGCTTTTCAAGCAATAACAATCCTTAAAGGAATCAATTACAACCACGTTGCATTTGAATGTTTATAAGGGCATGTATCAAGCTAATTTTGATCACTAATGCAACACAAACGCATTTACTCATAATTGATTGGTCTACTCAAGTGTGATTAAACACTGGTTTATGCTAAGAGTTGTTTATTAAGCTAACACTCTTAAAATCGATCAGATAACAAGCGTTTTTGTCTCCTCATAAAACTGAAATCAATGTCAATTGTGGTCAGTTGTAAAAGCACAACATCCGGGTCCTCCATTGAGAGAACAAGATGGCTGAAAACATATACACCAGGGGTTCTACGACACGGTCTGAATTTACACACAACGCTTTCTTGTCGTTTTGAATTCAAGAGCTACATCGCAAGCAATTAAATCAATGTATCATTTTATTTGTTTGCTAAATGAGATATGTTTTATCAGACCATAGTGGAATTGAATTAAAAAAACAAAAATACTCCCCTAAACACCCAGGTGTTAATAGTATGCACACAAGAGGTCACTGCAGCGGAAATCACAAAACAAGATATCATAATCAGGTTTAATAATAGTAATAGGTTGGTCCGGTGGTGCAGTGGATGACGCACTCGCCTTTCAACAAGGCGACCGGGGTTCGATTCTCCGATCAGACGTTAAAAAGTATTGGGTCGCATGCCCCTTCAGGTTTTTCTCACACATTAAGACCACCCCTCCCCCGCGCTAACACCCGAGCCAACAAGAGTGATTTTTAATATAAGCTGAAACGTTTTGTTTTATAATTGTTGTCAAATAAATAAAGTTTATATTTTTGATAGCATGCACACAAGAGGGTACCCTGGCCTGGGAATAATTTGAAAAATGAACCAGACGGTTCAGGAGACTTCATGGTGAACTAAAATACTCATTTACAACGATGATTGAGATGCTGTTTCGTAGATGCTATAGATTCAGAATAAATGTCTGTACTTGTATTCCAAAGAAGTCAGATAAATAATGCTTGAAGACTGTGTTTTTCTTTTAAAAACATGTTTGCGCATGCTCTAGTAGATGTAGTTAGAAGTGCACGGACTAGCTGCCGCTAAAACGCATTACCATACCATTAAGGATTTCTTCAATAATGATCAAGAACGCCAAATTTTTGAAATGCAGTTTCCCCTCAATATTTTGTAAATCAAATTGTAAACCTGTGCCGTAACTGTCCAATGTAAACCGATGTGTCACTTGGGGCACATTAATGATAGAATGAGTAATTGACATACCGTGTGTTGAACATAGACACATCGGTATACACTCCTTAAATTCAAATAAAGTAAATGCTTGGCAAGGGTCACGAGACGTTATGTCGATTGGATGGAAACTAGCTGACATGACAACGCATGCGTTTCCATCGTAGCTATAAATGGGACCTGATCACTTGGGTGACGTGTATTTGGACATCAAAAGCCCGAATAGATCAATCCTTGTGTGAGTATTCTCTTTGTCCATTTTGTTGTCATAAGGCTGTTCATATGAAATATTTACGTTTAAGAAAGTCAAATACAGATGGTTTTAAACCTTTACATGCATACGTCTTGTTAACTTTGATAGTCTTTCGAAACCTACTCGTCGTTATAGCTGCATGTTTAGCTTTTAATATCAATTTTACTATTATATGATCCTTTCAATGTTAATTTGCTCAAATACAAATATCACATTCCTAGACGTTCCCACCTCAGTAGTGACGGCCCATACCTGGTCCGGTCCCGTCTTCCTAGATATAGTACATAGCCATTTTTCAATGTTTCAAACTCTGAAAACGTAACATTTTTTTATCAGCAGAACCGATTAAGATCGAATTGAGATTTGTCTCTGGAAACCAGGTATTTCATATCTTTAACCTTTTGATCAACCTTCACTTGTGTATTTGATAAATTGTGTATATAAATTGAATGAATTACATAGAAACACAACAATCGCGAACCGTCGGCACTTTCCGTAAACAAGAAAAAAAACATTTCCCGCTTACGGAAAGTGCCGAAGCTTTCCCATTGAGAAGCACCAATGACGAAGGAAGACACTTTTATGACTCGTCTGGACCGAGAGCTCACGAACTATGTGTCGTTATAGTGCTTTCTATACATTGCGGCCGAGGTATTCATATATGTCACTATGACAATGTCTCGCTGTTGACCACTGAAGCATCGAAACCTTCTTTTTAAGGAGGTGAGATGGTGTAGTGTTATGAGGTGCGACTATTTCTAGGCTAGGCGATTAGGTGACGTAGGTGTGTCACAGGCTCGGACAGAGCACGAGTCATAACATTTTCCCACTTGTCATTAATTCAATAAATAAACAAAACGTATCATATATATATAAGGGTATGTTGATCCAAATGTTACAGGTATGAACTATCTATCTTAATTATACCGTGTGTAATAATATGCAAAAACATAAAACAAACTACTTTTTAACTTATTTAAACAAGTTTTACAGATTTTCCGGTCATGTTTGTTTCCAAATATATTAATTATAATATTTGATTTACTGAAGTCAATTTTTACAAATTTCAACGGGGTATGAATAAAAAAAAGCAAAAAAAAGTAAGGTAACTCTCAACGCTAAAACATTACCAGAAAATAACAAATGGTAATATTGACACAATCTGATTAAAATCATATGTTACATGGCTTCGTTAACTTCGTACTACGCCTGAACATCTGAGTGTGCCGCGGTCAGGGTCACGTTCAGGTGATTTTTATATCTATAAATACTCATTAAATTTTGACCAATCAGAGACCCTCTTTCAAAAGGGCGCTCGGAGTTGTAACAAATATGGCGGACATTGATGAGTTCTGAAGTTATTTGAGATTGATCGTCTGAAACCCGAACAGAAATAGATATTCGAAGCTTTATTAGAGAAGAAAGACTGTATGGCGGTGTTGCCTACGCAATGTTTACCAAATGGATACGTTTTCCTTGGCGTCGTATGTTTGGAAAACTAATCTGTTCGATACCCCTCGCTATTTATCAATCAACCATGATATTCCTACTCGCTGGCAAACTTTTGCCAGCGCGCCTCTGATTGGTTCATCTAAAGGTCATTTGAACGTGACCCTGACCGCGGCACATTCAACATGTAACAAATGATTTTAATCAGATTGATATTGACAAAACCTACATATCCTGAACTGAAATTTACTTTTTTGAAAAGCATTTATTGATCAAAAGTTAATCGCATTTTCAGACCATGGCAACCGCACCTATCTTTCCAGGCCCAGGCGGTCCGGGACCCTTCCCAGGCGGTCCGGGACCCTTCCCAGGCCCTGGCCTTCCGTTACCAGGTCCCCGCTTTGGTGGGCCTTTGTCTGCTCTGTTTGGATTCTTTGCAGGCAAGTGGAAATAAGTAAAAGTTGGGGCGAGTCAGTGTGGAAAAGGTACCGTGCTTTATTTTTTTATCAGCAGAAAAAAACCTGGCATTTCTATTTTTTTCTTACTGAGCAAAAGTGATTAATTTTCTGTTAATGCCTCACTTAGGGCGTAAAACGTGTCACAGATATAAAACAAAGAGGAATTTATTAAATTTTATTTTCTTACGTGCCGTAAAGAATTCGATGATTTGCATATTATATGGCCACGCATGCCCCAAATGAGCATGACGATATTTCTTGTCAAATGTTGGCATGCTTCTTATCCTATTAAAATCATTCAATGTTAATACTGCTTCCTTAGTTAATTATAAAGTCGTTTAAAAAACCAAGTGACGTAAAAAAATCGTCATCAATTTAGATGAAAGCACTTGCTTTGTACAAACAGAACCTCTGACCCTGTCGAACCTGTAGGATTCTGAAAACGTTACCATTGACCCAGACGAATACATAAGCGCCATTCGTTGTATTCTGCTCTCGTGACATCTCGTGAATTCGCTTGATAACGTGAACATGACTTCAATCCTTTGCCTGCTGAGATAAGTAGCAGTCGGGGACCTGTTTTGCGCACTTTGATTTAAGTCATTGCAATTTTAAATATGTATAAACCTACATCATAAGGGAATAACTGCATCACAACATAAATTAATATAAACAATCTTATTTATAAATGAATGCCTATGTTCTCTGTCTGAGCTGCAGCAACGTCATGCCAAGGGGTGTAGGATACGGAAATGACCCCTTAGGGGATACCAAATTTCTGCATTTTTTTAAATCCCGAGGGTGGTATATTCCAATCATACACCCTCGAGCATGACAGAGTATTTTTCTCTCTCATTCCAATAACAGTAAGTTCAAAAACTATAAAATGGTGTAACCACCTGATGATAGTTTTTAGAGTGTTAATATTTTAGATGATATTGCATCGCACACAGAGGTTCAATTTTGTATTGATAATATAATTCAATGGAATAGACGTGTATCTCGATGCAATGTAGTATGGATTATACTTTAATTCGTATCAGAATGACTTTACGTGTTACGGTATATTACGGTAATGTTGAAGAGGACGATAGCCGATTTAATTATGTATACCAATATAAACCGTTACCAGCTCTTGACACGTGGAGACATAACAAAGAAAAGTTGCAGATGCAGAATCAAAAACGAAAAATAAAAATGCAGAAATTGGACAAATTGTAATGTAAAATGTAGACCGCCGATACGATGACTAGATACGCATACAGATGTATCTTGTCCACAGCATTACACAGACGGTTATATTATGGTTCCATTATGTAAAGTTATCAAATATTGGTATCAACAGGAAGGTATTTATTTATCATTTGTGAAATTTCAGAAAAAAACCCCAGGTCCCTTCTTGAGCCAAAACTTTCACTGACGCAGAGTCCGGTGACAAGTTAATACAGATGACGTCATCGCCATTTCGTTTGAGTATGAAAGCAAAAAACTCTCGTAACGTAACACGTGGTTTACTTATGACGTCATACATTAACCTTGCTCAATGAGAGTCTTGTCGCCTCGCTTCGGACAACATGGAGAATGCCCCTGCGTCAAATGTTTAAATGACTACTGTTAATTATTGGCACCAATTTCATTTAAATAAGGCTGTTCCGCCAATGTCGTTTAAATAAGGCTGTTCCGCCAATGTCGTTTAAAGGACGATGCCTATACAAATCGCAGCAAATAAATAAATAATTTAAGAGCAAATGAATAAAATCAAACAATTGTTCTATAGTAAAAATGTAATTATATGGATTGAACGGCGCTTTTTTGTAAATTTTCATGCCGGTATGAACGCAAATCAGTTACAACCCTTCTCTTCTCAACAACTATCGACCAATATCATTAATATCTATAGTGGGCAAGGCGATGAAAAAAGTGTATAAAAATATATGTACAAATTCATTATTGAAAATTCTTTATTATCACCTTCTCAATCTGGATTCAGGGCAGGTGACTCTACAACTAATCAATTTCTCGCCATTACTAAAGATATAAATTCGGATGATCTTTTGTGATATCAGCAAGCTTAAGGCCTTCGACAGAGTCTGGCATGCAGGGTTACTTTTTAAACTGCATAAATAAGGCATCGGGGGGAGTTTATTATCATGGTTTAAAAGTTATTTGAATAATAGGAAGCAACGAGTAGTTATAAACAGTAAGACCTCTGAGTGGATGGAAATTAGGGCTGGTTTTCCCCAGGGGTCAATATTAGGTCCACTGCTGTTTTTGATTTTTATAAAAGATATAGTTGACGATATTAACGCTATAGTAAAACTATTTGCTGACGACACTTCCCTTTATGCCATAGTCGATACTCCGTCTCAATGTGCAGATTTGTTGAATGACAGTTTAAGGAAAATATATCCATGGTCTGAAAAGTGGTTGGTTAAATTTAACCCTGAAAAAAATGAATCTCCTTTGATTAGTAGGAAAATTAATAACCCCTCTTTATTTATGAATGACGTTCCTATTAATGAGGTTAAACAACACAAACATATAGTTTATTTTTCTCTCATGATGGTCCTCTGTCCGTCTAATAAACTAGCCATTCTAAGACAATTTAAAATAGACACACTCTCTCTTCAAACCTTGTGTTTTTTCATTTGCCAGACCTATACTTGAGTATGGTGATATCGTCTGGGACAACCTAACTATCCAACAGTCTCAATCCCTTGAGAATATTCAGCTCGACGCTGCAAGAATTACAACGGGTGGTACTAAACTAACAAGTCATGATAAGCGTTATGAGGAAACTGGTTGGGACAGTCTACAATACCGACGCAACGTAAAGAAAATAGTTCAGATACATAAAATGATTTTGGCCTTACTCCCCCGTACCTTTCACATCTACTCCCTCAACGCAGAATCGACGCTCACCAATATAACACACGTGTTACCGATAGCCTGAGCAATGTATTTTCAAAAACTAACGTCTACAAGAAATCGTTTCTTCCTTCTTCTATTGACCTGAGGAATTCTCTAACCCCAGATATTAAAAATAACCCCTCAATAAGTTATATGAAAAACTACCTACACAGACACTTCCTTACAGTTCCCCCTTATTATAATTATGGAAAACGCCTCGACCAGGTTTATCACGCTAGACTGAGGATGAACTACAGCTCCTTAAATGCTCACCTGTTTAGTCGTAATCTGTCGATAGTCCTTATTGCTCATGTAGACAGGCACATGAAACTACTGACCACTTTCTTCTGTCTTGTCCTAATTATACAAATATAAGAAATTAATGCTTTATAAATTTACCTGAAAATTACACTCTTTACATGCTTCTGTACGGAGATCCAAATTTATCTATTAATGAGAACGAAAGCGTTTTTCGTACTAACATTTTACTTCTAAAACCAAACGTTTCACAAATTAACAGTGCTGTCACATAAATCCCAGTGAGTCAAACAAATCATCTTTGTCATGATTTAGAACATTTATTCTACCTATGTTGGGTTCACTTATCTTATAGTTTGCGATTGTATGTATCAACTACAGTGTGGTATCACTAAGTCACATTAAAGACACCTCTCTCTCTCTCTCTCTCTCTCTCTCTCTCTCTCTCTCACACATGGTTTAAGTTTTGTCCTTTATAACACATACTATTCTTACGATGTTGTTTTTAGCTTTGTAGTGTTGTCATCCGCTTGTCAGTAATTAAGGTGACAGATTCATATAAGTATTTTAATACTTTTTTCCTGAATCCTGTACTTATGTATTGTATGTACGACATGAACAAAAAACGAAATAAAATATGGTTAAAACTTAATCAGTTGCATCCATGCGTTCATATCGGCATGAACATTAAAAAACGCCGTTCAATCCCTATATCGAAAGGATTATTGCATTACCCGAAACTAACCATATTGTTTCTATATAGATATAGAAGAATTTCCCTTAAACATTAAAGTATGGGTCCAAATTATACAACGTGAATAAATGTTAGTTAGGGGTTTTGGTGCAAACTTAACGCTTTAAAACATAATAATGTTATTTTAACCTTTAAACAAAAGGAACCAAAATATACTTGTAAAATCTTATTAAAGATAAACTTATAACAGCTTAAACTTTGAACATGTAGAACTAATATTTTGTACTTTTGGTAACACTATTGTTTCGTCTTTTATTCAAGGGGCAGCAACTTTATTACTTTTTAGTGATGTCTTCGAAGGTCCGCCTGGGCCAACAGGGTTTATTGGACCCACAGGTGCTACAGGATCCACAGGTGCTACAGGAGCCACTGGTCCCACTGGTGCTACAGGCATAGGTGCTACAGGAGCCACTGGTGCCACTGGGGCTACAGGTGCTACAGGTGCTACAGGTGCTACAGGAGCCACTGGGGCTACAGGTGTAGCTGCTACAGGTGCTACAGGAGCCACTGGTGCCACTGGTGCTACAGGAGCTACAGGTGCTACAGGTGCCACTGGCGCTACAGGAGCTACAGGTGCTACAGGTGCCACTGGAGCTACAGGTGCCACTGGAGCTACAGGTCCAACTTAATATGAAACGATTGATCATACTTTGGACTCTAGTGGTGATGCCAATGCCAATTATATTTCATTGATAGCGCTTTATTGCAAAAACAGGCATGTGATAAAATGGCAGACGTATGGAATTTACCGTTGTTTTGTTTTGAATTAGATAAGTATGATAGAACAAGTCTTAAGACATGAAAGTCAGAGTCGCTATTTGTTGTATGATTATCCTTTATATCTTTTAGAATGACATCTTACATAGACGTTTTATTTTTTAAAAAAAACAGATGGCCATTCACCCAAGCATGCTATTTGCCAAATATCATCACCATCGTCGATTTGGTAATTCAGAAAAGTAGTTTTGATGTCGTTTTTAACAAATTGACCTCTTTGGCCTTGAAAGTAGATTAAATTTATTAGTCTGAATACACTTGCTTACCCTTTATCCCATCATTCTATTCACCCGAAGCCTCTTGGTTGTTTAGCAGATTTGGTTTGAACTTTTGAAGAAATTTTACCTTTGTGACCTTGAAAGTAGGTCAAGGTCACTAAGTTGAAGAAAAAAAAAACCGGTTGATAATTATTTTTATACCAATATATTCATCTTTAGCCTCTTGGTTGTTCAGAAGATTTTGTTGAAACGTTCGAACCGATAAGACCTCATTGACCTTGAAAATAGATCCTATCACGGTATGACGCCGGAGACATTTATTGCTAGAAATGAACTTCCCAGTACCAGTTCAATTCACTCTTTTATTACAACTACCAAGAATTCAATNAACCCCCCCCCCCCCCCCCCCCCATTCTCTCTCCCTTACCCTTATTCTCCATCATTTTTCTTTCCTTATTTACAATCGAAATAAAACTACCGCAAGTAAAGAATACCGACTCCGAGGTGCCAAAGCAGGAACCCCCAATACAAGAATACACCATAGTGTCTCCGATTGGAGTGGAAAACTTATTCAGATTAATGTTTTTATTAACTCATTCACTCCTGACATTTCATAATGAACTATTCTAACCTTTGAATTGGAAGAGTTCAAATGTGTGATCAGGGGTGAATAGGTTAACCAAACGTCATTAGTCTTATAGGTACATACATGCATGTATATACCCGTCATAACATTCTCTCGAAACAAACATGCATGTGTATACCCGTAATAACATTCTCTCGAAACAAACATGCATGTATATACCCGTAATAACATTCTCTCGAAACAAACATGTATGTATATACCCGTAATAACATTCTCTCGAAACATACATGCATGTATATACCCGTAATAACATTCTCTCGAAACATACATGTATGTATATACCCGTAATAACATTCTCACATCCTGTTTCTGAGTACGACGTTACCACAATTTATGAATTTTAATTTATGAGACGTAATCCCAAATCTAGTTAGCATGTGTTTATATTTACGTTCGATACGGACCATGTTCTTATCAACGATAGAATCATGATCGATCGTAGTAAGCTCCTCCCATCGCACTTATATTAAGCCACGCCCCGTTACTAACCAAAACAATATGGCGTCGAGCACGCCTCTTAGCGAAATGCCGCTGATAAGGCTAGCAGGCAACAGAACAGAAATGACCGGTGAAATGTATTTGTTGAATGAATTAAAAAGTAAAAAGTAAACATTCCTTGTTCTTACCTCCATTTATTACTGAAACATTCGTTCCATCCGTGTGAAGGCATCTAGTTAGATCCGAAATCAAATGAAACATTTCACATGTGTCGTATAAATTTACGCAAAACTCTTCACAAATCTATACAAATAATCACCGATTTTGTCGATAAGCACAGATTGGTATGCATACTGACATGGAAATGTAAGAACTTGATCAATATTAATCCAAATGTGTCGTATAAACTTTGGTAACAGGACGTTCACGAACAATCCAAAAGTGCAGGCAAATTCGTCAGTCATTAGTGAGGGTTTCGGTTAATTATTCGCCCAAAAACGCATGTATCAAAATGCAGGCGAGCACCAGTACAGAAGATTTGACTAAAATGCCTATAAATAAACTTTGTTGTAAACACGCCTGAATGACATCACGCAGCAACATTTGTGACGTCATCGGGCCTTCCGTGGTTTTGCTCAAAGGTGCAGGCAGTTTCGCCACATTCAAACATTTTTATAAAACTAATTTACAAGTAATCTAAGTGTTGAAATGTAAAATTTTGTATGTTTATGTTAAACAAGCCGTACTGATACGACAGCTCCAAATGTGTGTGTGTAACAGTGATTGGCATTGAAATACACGGATTTTCTTATTGGTTGTGATAGTTAGTTTTCGGTAACTTGAAGAAACTGATTAATATTGTTTGAGAAAGATGGCTGGTATCGGCTGAGATGGGATACGCAATAAAGACTCAGTCCTTAACAAATATAAACTTCCAAATCGCTGTCCAATTTTATATTTTTCATCGGGTCCGGAGGAGACGCACCCCCCCCCCCCCCCTCCCTACTTTTGGATAATTTGTCACATACGTCTCCGCTGATTGTCTTGCACGTCACCAGGACAAATCTTGGGCTTGAAAACTTGTTCAACAAAGACTTCCCGGCCAGGTGTTGTAAATGTACTTACTTTTTCATGTAAAAAAAACCCGCTATTTTTTTTATAATTGTCGGTCTCTACGTACAATCAGCATGCGATTGAACAGCAGTACTTTCAGGCCGACAACAAATTCCTTTCAGATATAAATCTAGAAAAATTCTAGATGGTATTTTAATTTAAGTGTTGTAAGATTGTTGAAAGTAAGACGCTAACAATACTTTTAAAAAGATACTGGTTGATTGTATTCTAAATACACATTGCATGAAAATGGAAACTGACGAATTCGAATTATCCAATCGCGGATTTTTCCGATCGTCATTTCCATAAACACGCATTGGCTCGTCAGTAATGATTTAAACATATTTTATTACAAATAAATATTTACAAAAGAGTTGGACACAAGTTTTCACAGCTTATCATAGTCCTTTTCTTCAAATACATGAATATAAACAACAACTTGATGAGGTAATTTACGCAATATATCTATATTATGTTTTTATATGGAAATAGAAAATAGAGAGGAAGAAAAGACGGATAGTTTCTTTTAGGTTAAACATATTTTATTGTAAAACATTATTAACGCCCTTACCTTATAAGATAAATAGTTGTTTATACACATCATTAGATGGCTTTCATAGTTTAAATTACTACATTTATCTATTATTGAGAGAGAGAGAGAGAGAGAGAGAGAGAGAGAGAGAGAGAGGGGGGGGGGGGGGGGGGGGGGGGGGGTGTTTCGCACAAGCTACACTATGGGGACCTCACACCAGTGAGAAGACCAACGTTATGGGGTTCGTTCACTTTTGTGGGGAATTTTTTAGTTCCCCACAATTACATATGGTATATTTTCGTAATCCTGGAGTAATTCTGAACAAAATGAGGCCAAACTTGGAATATTCCTCATTAAATTATATTACTCGTATCACTGACCTATCACTGCACTGTAAATCGACTGTCCAGTAATCATGGGTAATTTTCCATTCAGTATACCTTTGCCCTCTAGGTAGGCGCTGTATGTTTTTGGCGGGAAAAAATGGAGGGAAAATATTTCGCGTTATGGGGAAGAAATGAAGAGTACTTTCTCATGTTATTTGGTTATATCATTATGAGGAAGTTATCACTTTCCTGTATGTTAGTCAGATAATACATTATTTACATATTACAAATTTCAAAATAGATGCATCCAGATTTTTTAGTAGTTTCATCAGGAATAACATTACACGTTTAATTACCAAGAGGGACGGATGGGTCAATAGTTCCCGATACCACCCCCATATTACTCCTGATTCCCACTACCTCATTTCCGTGTCCAAACCAAAACCGAATATGGCCGCAGCGTTCGTCATCTATCCGTCCGTTGCTTCATGATGCTTCATAATTGCTCATAATATAGGGAATTAAAGATATTGGTCTGTACAAGACACTCTGCCGGTACGTGGCACTCATTGAAAACGGAAAGGCAAAAACTAATAAATGTGTTAAAAACGGTAGAGGAGTCTGGTGCGAAACATTGAAAGACCATCAATGTAGTTTCAGTTCTCTTCATGTCTCTAATCTCTCCTACACGTCCATGTACCAATGTAAAGTTCTACATTCATGCAAACTATAAATGCGTTCTTTGAGAGGGTTTTGCTATATGCTACATTTTCGATCCATTTCGAATTAGGCATCCAAATTTGTGAACCAATGAAATCTTACATCCCATGTACACAAACTATCTATCACAATCCCGGAAGTACTTTCCGGAAAATATCAAAGATTGCTTATTGGCTATTTTTTTAATCGGTCAAGTTCAAAACAGACACTGGCAACTCGGGACTAAGTTGGTAATGTGTACCACGTTTTGCCATGCTCCCTGCAGTAATTCCTGCGACATTGCGATACAAAAACTTTCAACGCATACAAAATTCAAGATGGTTGCCCGACGCCCATTTTCCTTTTTCGGTTCATCTTAAGCATGCGCAAGAGTAGAGCTATAATGCTTCCCAAGTTTTAATATGATCATATGAGTGGATCCTGAGAAATCGATGTAACAACTATTGTTTACACAAGGACTGACTGTATAACACCAGAATCGTAAGCTAAGAGCTTAACCACGGTTTATTTGTTTGATAAGCTCTATGAGCTCTATACGTCATGAACTTAACCATGGCATACTTGTTTAATAAGCTCTATAAAGGCAAACTGAAAGTTAATGGCATAAAGCATTTTTCTTTCCCAAAGGTGTTAGTTACTTTGAAATTTAAAAAATAATGTATTGACATTGATTGGTAACATTCGAAAACCCTGCGAAGGGTGAAGAATGAGATGGTTTTAACTTTAGTTCTTGATAGGCGGAGAAGTCGGGAAAGAGAACACTGATAAAATATTAACATATGAAAGGCGTTTTACATAAGTAAATTCATGAAGACATGAAGAATATTCGATGGTTAAAATCGGACTGGTGAGTTCAAGAAAGGGAAAATCGGCAATAAAGATGAAATATACTGCAGCAACAACACAAAACACAAGAAAAAATATGATCCATGTACTCAATATAATCACATACTACTTTATAAAGTTCACGCTAT